GGGACAACCACCATCCTTCCGTCTTAGTCCCCCAGTTGACCTTCATATCAGCCGCCACTGCGAAGATATGAATTGTGTCCGTCAGTGCTTTCAAGGATGTATCAGAGGCCTTGATGAGAACTGTTAGATCATCAGCAAACAATGATGTGACTGGTACCATGTGGGGGGGGAGTTCAGGCATGTCTATGCGTTCGATTTCAGGGTTGGCTCGGATCAATGCCGTCAGTGCTTCCATTACGAGCACAAAGAGTAAGGGGGCCACGGGGTCTCCTTGTCTGACCGATCGATGAAGGGCGAATGGGGCAGACAAGTGACCGTTGACCATGATATTGGTTGTTGCTGACCTATACATGATAGACACCCATGTTCTAAATGAGTCTCCGAAGTTCATTTTTTGTAGGCAACAGTCCATGAAATCCCAGTCTACGTGGTCGTAGGTTTTTTCAAAGTCAATGAAAAGGACTGCGGCTTCTCTTTGGTGTTGCCTCGCATATTTGATGGTCTCATTCACCAGGAGCACGTTGTCTTGTTGCGTTGCGGCATAAACCCGATCTGGTCCTGGTAAATTAGGTGGTTCATGTGTGGCAGCAGACGATTGGTCAGGGCTTTAGAAACCATTTTGTAGGGCAGGGGGAGGAGTGTGATCGGTCTATAGTTTCGGACGTCCATTTTGTCCCTTTTTTTGTAGAGGAGTGTGGAAACCCCTTGACCCATCAGTCCCCCAAAGGTCCCCTCTGTCTGGACTGCCTGTACATAGGCCTTGTATGCTGTCCTGAAAGGTTTCCCAGTAGGAGACCCAAAATTCCTTGGGGAAGGAGTCAAGTCCCGGGGTTTTCTCGTCCTCCATCCCCCTTAAGGCTTCCAATAGCTCTTCCATAGTTAGTGGCACGTCCAAGAGTTGGCGTTGTGTCGTTGATAGCATCGCTGGTAGGTTGTGGAGCATCTTTTGTCTAGCAGAATCCAGCTGTTCCACTCCCAATTGGCCAGATTCTGAGGTATACAACTTTTGGTAGAATCGGGCTGCGTAGTCTACGATGGAGTAAGCATTGGTCGCGTGTGGTTGGGAATGGTCGAAGGGGTGCCGAAGTGAGGGCACCACCACCTGCCTAGCCCTGGCCCTTGCCTTCCGGAAGAAGGTCTTCGCCATTGTGCTGTCCGTGTCCTGTCTCTTTATGCGTGCCTGGATTCGCCACGCCTCAGCTTGTGCTTGTAGGTATGTTTGCAAGTGGTCTCTAGCAGCCTGAAGTCTGTGGTAGTTCATATCATCCAGGGGTTCATCCTGCAGCTTGCCATCCCATGATTCCAGTTCTTCCAGCAAGTTGTCTAACACTGCTTTGCGGACCTGGGCGTGGTTGATGGAGAATTTTTTGACGAGGTCTCTGAGCTGTGCCACTCCATCATTGAACCAGTCCACTGTTGAGTGAACAGTATCTTTCTGTGATACCCAATAGTGCCAAAATTCGTGGACCAACGTTTTTAGGGCTGGCAGTTTAAGGAGCGATGTGTTGAACTTATAAAAGCTTGGGCCTTTTTCAACTTGAGAGTGGAAGGACAGTCCCATCACAATGCCACGATGGTCAAAGGACTTGCAGGCACTAAAGGGCATGATGGTTGTTACCGACAATGTCCCAACCAATTCTTCAGCGATGAGAAACAGGTCTATCCTAGAGTAAGACCTCCCCGCCGACCCCCTAGATCTCATGCATGTATACGCTCTCTTGGTCGGGTTGAGTAGCCTATAAGCGTCTTTCAGTTGCAGTGAGGCCATAAACCTCGTCAGCATGTCTACGTCCGGAGCCCATCTATCATGGCGTTGTTCCCCTCCATCCCCACTGTTGGAGGACCTCATGTCCAACAGCGGGTCGGGTGTGATATTGAACTCCCCCGCTAGGATGAGTGGTAGACCTACGGGCAGGTCATCGTGGAGGCGATGGAGAAATTCGGCTCTTTCCATCGAGTCGTTCGGACCGTAGATGCTCACTATGCCTATTTCCTCATCCCCCAATGCAGCTTTGAGGCAGACCTATCGACCCTCTCGTTGGTCATACTCCTGTGAGAGCGGTTTTAGTCTTGATGAGGGTGAAAAAAAATCACCCTCATCAAGACTAAAACCGCTCTCACACGAGTACGACCAACGAGAGGGTCGATGGGTCTGCCTCAAAGCTGCATTGGGGGATGAGGAAATAGGCATAGTGAGCATCTACAGTCCGAACGACCCGATGGAAAGAGCTGAATTTCTCCATCGCCTCCACGATGACGTGCCCGTAGGTCTACCACTCATCCTAGCGGGGGATTTCAACGCATCGACTGATCTACAGTTGGTTTGGTCCCTGATACATGAATGAAGCAGCTGGAAACAAGAAACAAGCAGCCGTCAGGGGGGTGAGAGCTATGGGCGATAGGGCCTCGCCACACGGTGCACGGAAGGAAAAAAAAAATTGACTTCGTTTCGCGAAGGAGTCGCCGCACAGCACCCACACGAGCTCTGTGCAAAGACAAGTCGTGAATGCTGTCAGACTCCAAGTTCGCAAGGTTAGCAGCTTGCGCGAGTCCTCCCTCCTTGCAGCGCTCACGAACTCGTAGGTCCTCCACTGGTTGGCCGGAGGAGCTGTGAAATCTCATGAGTGTGCCGCGTAGCTCCAACCGAGGTTCGTTCGCGAAATTGGACCATAGCGTAAAAAAAAAAAAAAAAAAAAAAAAAAGCAGAGATGCAGGGATGACTTACCAGAGACTAGAGCCTACTCAGGGGCATTTGGAGTGTTGTTTAAAAGCAGAGGGGGCTTTATCTAACTTTTTTTTGTGCTTCAAGGTTTATCTTTTGGAAGGATTAGATGTCGTGATGATAGTGATTGGAAGGGATGGTGGGGTCTGGTCCCACCTACAGCGCTGAGTTTTCTCAACGCGGAGCTTTCAATCACGTGTGGCATGGTGGGACTGAGCTCTGCCGTTGATGTATTGCGGATCGCACGATACCGAAATACATGAGAATAACCTGTAAGATTTTGTTATTTTGTAGACTTTTTCTGTGGTGCGAAATCCGTTTTGTAGTATGCTTTGGCCCTTTTTTTTTTTTTTTTTTTTGATCAAACACGTTCAGCTCATATTAAAAAAACCATTGGATGGAGGCCGGGGACCTCACATTCGACCCGGAGTTATCCTGGCAGCCTTAGCCAGTTTCGCTTATGTTCCAAAATTCCTCTTATCCAGACGCTAATCCATCTATGCTTTCAGGATTGAGAGCGGGGTTCTCACAATTCAACCCGCTCGAGCTGGGGCCATTACCCAATTTGGACTAATGCTGGAAAGCGGGTCCAGCATCCCTTCCACTTCTAAGCAAGACCAAAACTTCCCAAAACCAGCATGAAGGTCCACTAATATAACTATGGGGCTCGTTCGACACTCCTCGGGCGTGTAAAGTCCCCGAGGAATTGTTCGTTCCACCTATCCTCGGGGATGGAGTCGGAAAAAAAAGTGAAAACACTCCGACGGAAATTCCTTGGGCTCCAAGGATTCCCCAGCCATTTCTTCCTTTTGCCCAAGGGACCTCACGAGGTCCCTTGGGCAAAAGGAATCCGCGTTTCACGGAGAGGAGAGGGCACATGGGTAGAGAGACGTTACAACCGAGAATCTGGATCGTGGCGGCACCCTATTGGCTGAAGGCCTCAAACACATTTGATTTTTTTTTCCTTTTCTTTTTTCTTGTCTGACATCGTTCGAAGGAAATGTCCTCGGGCGATGTCCCCAAGGACAGGTGGAACAGTGGCGGGAATTTCCTTGAAAACCCCCAAGGAAACTTCCTTCGGCCCCGAGGACTCCCCAAGGAGTGTCAAACGAGCCCCTATGTTCTCAAAGAACTCTGACAGTCTATGCAAAGCATGTACTCAACCGGCCTAAACCGGCCCAAACTGCCATCAGTCCCCTGCAGCCTGACTCCAAAACCCTGTTGTCCTGCGACCACGTTCATTAACCATGACCGCCCTTTACTTGATCAAATCCTCGTCTGCAGCACGTTTGCTCTACCAGACATCCGGATCGTGAATCATGCCAGCGTCGTCTGCAATGTTCATCATATTCTCTCTGTCTTGATGTTCACCGATGTTCACTAAGTTCTGTCGGCACCGACTCATGCCAATCACCCCATAACGAGTTTCCTTCCTCTCTCTCTCTCTCTCTCTCTCTCTCTCTCTCTCTCTGACCTGGCCACCCTGCGGCCTGTTTATTCTGCATTTTCCCACCTTCCCCTTTATCATACATTTTCTGTACTATTCAGTATTCAGCAATCCTACGAAAGTGAAAACGAATACAAAACGAAATTAAAAGGTCTATCTAAACGATTTTGTCCTATTCCACGTGCTCTCTCTCTCTCTCCCTCTCTCTCTCTCTCTCTCTCTCTCTCTCTCTCTCTCTCTCTCTCTCTCTCTCTCGATTTTGATTCAGTATTCAGGAACCCTACGAAAATGATAACGAAGACAAAGAGGTATAATCTAAGCGATTCTATCCTTTTCTACGTGCTCTCTCTCTCTCTCTCTCTCTCTCTCTCTCTCTCTCTCTCTCTCTCTCTCTCTCTCTCTCTCTCTCTCTCTCTCTCTCTCTCTAACCTAGCCACCCTGCGGCCTGTTTGTTCTGCATTTTCCCACCTTCGCCCTTCGCCCTTTGTGTTTATCATACATTTTCTGTACTATTCAGTATTCAGCAATCCTACGAAAGTGAAAACGAATACGAAACGAAATTAAAAGGTCTATCTAAACGATTTTGTCATATTCCACGTGCTCTCTCTCTCTCTCTCTCTCTCTCTCTCTCTCTCTCTCTCTCTCTCTCTCTCTCTCTCTCTCTCTCTCTCTCTCTCTCTCTCTCTCT